AGAGAGAGAGTAACAAATGGTGCCGCTTCGAACTCTGAGCAAGGCTTCGCCCGCTAAGGGGATAAAAACAATTCGATTAGGTTACGTGAGCGATGCAGCTACGTTCGACATAATGGACATAACGGCCTTAATGGTATTTTCTGTTGGCTTTTATACATAAGAGCATCTACCATCTCAATCGTGATGTTAAAACGGAAAGGACGTCTGGAGGACCGTGAAAGTGAAATTATAAAAAATTTGTAATTATTATTCTACCACGTTTTTTAATTTATATTAGTGATCAGCGGGATAATAATAATGTATCGATAAGGTACGTACAATTAAGCATACGGTCGGATTAAATAAAAACTTGGCGGCTCGTTCTACTGACGTCGAAGTCCTCTATGTTAAGCAATATACTGGCGGACTTAAGCGCCCCGTTATCGACGAGATCGCCCATGTACAGGCTGTTCGCATTATGATTGCCCATCGCGCTGGATGCAGCACTGCTGTACGCGCTCGAAGTGTTTTGGACCGATGCACCATCGGTGGTTCTTTGAACGAGCCATTTGTTCGTCACACTCGACGTATCCGCTTCCGAGGACACGTCGAATCTGATGTCACTGAAATCAATACAAGCCCAGCCTTCAACTTAAAGATCGGTAGATGCGATTTAATCGTATGCTAAAGATGCACTTTCTTTTGATCAAATGAATTAAACTTTTTCATCAAAATTCTTGTTATATATAGTCCAACTATGGCTATACCTTTTTTAATATCGGAGAATTCTTTTCTGTTATTTCATTGTTTTTATTTCATGCAGTCGATATCTTGTTTATTATAAAAAAGGCTGAAAGACACAATAGAAGCCAACGTATCTGATTATATGTAGTTTATTTTATGAGAATTGAATATTGATCACTAATAAAATCGGAAATATACGATCAGTCGATTATACTTTTCAATATTTATTTTCATCGTTCTCCAATATTTAATATCATTTTTGTGACACAAGCATATTTCAAATTTAAATTATGTAAAGTAAATAATGTCCCACAACTTGATTCACCCAGTAATTGTTAAATACATTCTTCTACCCAAAATATATTCTCGACATTTAAGAGATCTCTCTTCGGTGAAAGGATAAGATAAATCGCCGCAACAAATGTCACGGAAGGAATGCTTAACGTATAATAAAGTGAAGACACTTGTATTTACTCACTTCAAATAATTATTTTCTACCACCTTCTGTTCATGATTCTGCCTGGAGATAGCGTTTTTACGAGAGGTAGGCTGAGAGAGGACCAGCTCGATCGTATCGGACGAGCTCTGTAGCATCTTCAGAGCATCCTCGTACCGTAAATGCAATAAATTTTGTCCATTTATCGCGACGATACGATCACCTGTCACCAATAAATTTCGTTGAAGTAATGCGAAAACGCTGAAGTAGTGCGAAATGTTTCAAGAAACGTTACCTTTGTTCACGTTCCCCGCCATATCAGCCGACCCACCAACCGACACCGCTTGAACGTAAACGCCTCCGTCGTTACCCTCTGTCACCTGCAATCCGATGCTGCCACCATGACCCCTCTCCAACTTAATCGTCTGCAGGATACGCTCCTCGGCGAAGGATAATTCCTCAAGGCGGGCTGCTAGGGACGCGGACATTGATTCATCCTCGGTAACGTGGAACGTCTCGTCGTCTGTTCGAATGTCAGCGTCTATAATGAAGAAATATTTTATGGAACATTAAAGATTTTGTACCAAATGTTTCTTTAATAATGACAGTATTAAATTATGTACAAATGAAATTGATTTATGTGAAATATAGAAAGTAGTTATGATGCTAAAGATTATTGCGTAAACACGATTATGAAAGGAAATTATACCTTGATGTTAGATAATGCATGGGCTGTTCTATTCACTGTGTAATCGTGTAAGTTGAGTACTTTTTTAAATATTATTATCATTTGTTTGTATATGAAAATTATGGTAAAAATAATAAAAAATAATGTGATAATAGCGTATGTTAAAATGTATCGTTAAAAGTGGTTTGAGATTGTTTGAAATTGTTACTAACTGAGCACGTATGCTTCCGGTAGAGGAGATTCCGTGGACCGGCCAGATAATGATTGGATCGAAGACTCGGTGTCCGATTTTAGCGACAGAGACTCCATGTCGTCGGTAAGAGCGGTATCCTTTGGTACGAGGCTGTTATAAATCGCTCGCGTTCCCATTTTCACCCCTAGACGCCGTGGTAAACTAGGCGTGCGGTAACCACCTGATTGCCTGGATGTTCCGTAATTCGGTAAACTGGAGGTCTTCATCTGGAAAATCAAATTTCGATTTACCTCAACTGCAATTCCAAATAATTATGGAAAATAGTTGTAATATAATTTACAAATATCAGAATAATAAAACGAGAATATTTTGAACTGCAAAGGGTTAACAACGATCGAGAATAAATGTAACAATTTTTAATGAAATCTATCTCCATAAGTCACTAAAAATATATTATAAATGCATTTTATAAACCATAATATTAAAAAAAATATTTTATACAAGCTCACACACCTTGTGTAGTGACTTCTTCACATCCGACACGTCCCACACCTCATCCGGAACAGGAAAATCTACTTTCCGGTTAATTCCAACTTTGTTGATGGCCGCGTAGAGTTCTTCAGGATTAGCAGGATTTTCCAACTGGTCGACATCGTTCGACGACATGATTTTCGGCAAAGAATAGCCGCATTCGGTGTCCGTTCCTATTTCTATCCGAGGACAACTGTAAAGTTGCCCGTTAGTTTTTGTTCCCTTCGCGTCCAACGAACAAGGCTCATTGGGGGTGGCTAAGCTTCTCTCGGATTCGTCTTCCGTGTCACGAGACTCGCCTTCCGGTTCTAATCGAACGTTCACTTGCGCGTAAAGTGCGTCCTCCTCGAACGAATACGAACTGGGCTCGCGAAGAGGATCCTTAGGCTTTGATGCCGCATTCACCTCTTTCTCGGGATTCTCGTTCTCTTTGTTCTGGTATTCTTCGAGCTGCATCGGATAACTTGGTCTCAATTGTGCGTTCTTCACTGTGTTCGCTATCGCTATCTTCGTTTTGCTGTCGTGGGATTTCATTTTCGATGGCGAGGGCTTTGTTTCTATGGTTGTCGGAACTCCGAACTCTGGGAATCAAAGTGTTTGAAATTATTTTTAAAATTCGACAATTTCACGGTAGAAATATTTAATATTGTATAGAAAGACTGCTGTTAAACATGAAATATTACTACTGAAATGAAATGTCACATCACTACATGAAAACTACACATGTGCGTATAATTAGGATAAAACCAGTAATAGAAAGAATAAGATGAAGAATAATATAGATTTTGAAATGATTTTTATTGCCTCTGCTGTATAGTCTTCCCGTAGAGAAATAATTGTAACTACTAACTAGTTAGTACTTACATGCAAAAGTCGATACATACCTTTCGCAAGTCCTTGAAGCGAAGTAAGCTCGGAACGTAGCCTCAGGAAGAACTGGTGGTGCAAGGAGGTAAGCTTGAAAGCGAAGTAACTCCTGAAACACAAAAATACACTCAAACTCGTCTTGTCTTACGCCACACGTTACACCAACGCCCGTATCCCATTCAAACGCGAAAATCTAGAGTGTTCCTTTCGCAATTGCTATTTCCCTTTCACGGTAAATGAATGCAACATTTTCATTTAGCTACACAGTCAATCCCACTCTTAATTCACGTATCCACAGACGCGATATTCTAACGTCATTTCTCATACAGAACTATATCTGGTAAAAAAAATAACATCGCAGTCTACACTGAATACGATTCATACTTCTGCGAAATCGATTCAAACCCTTTCATTTGGAACTGAAACCGTGTTTACAGTCGTATTGAGAAGTAAATGAAAATTCTTGACAAATCATTTGCAAAATTTAATATAGATATATTTTAATATATTTTAAGAATATAAAAG